TCTAGTCCAACGGTGTATTTACCGCGAGGCTGACAAGGCCTTGGGCGGCACTTTCAGGGGGAGGCTGCCTCCCCAAACGCCCTGGCAAATACCTTGCCAGACTCTTGTCCTGGGGGCCCAGGAACTGGCCGACTGGCCACCTTGGCCCCCCCAGAGGCTGGCATCTGTTCTGTTGGTAGGCTGGCGGCAAAGGGTGGGGGACTCTCCCCTGAGCTCTCCCTGCTCAGCTCCCTCGCATGCCCCGCAGTGATGCCGGAGCCGGAATATGACGTCACTCCGGCCCCGGCATCACTGAGAGGCGCACGAGAGAGCTGAGCAGGGAGATCAGGGCTCCCTCGCCACCTAAATTGCTCCAGCAGTATTGGATCCCCACTGGACCTCTGGGAAATGGAGAATCCACTCCAGCACTCGAGCAAAGGTATGGAGGCTGGGTGAATTGAAATAAAATAAAATGTTAGTGTGTGTGTCTTTTGGTGATTGTGTTAGTGATCTGCGTCTGTTTGTGGGAGTGTGTGTGTGTGTGTCTGTTAGTAAGTGTGTATGTGTGTCTGTCAAAGAGTGTGTGTCAATGAGAGTGTGTATGTCTGTTAGTGAGTGTGTTAGTGTGTGTCTCTGTTGGTGAGTGTGCTAGTGTGTCTGTTAGTGAGAGTGTGTCTTTTAGTGAGTGTGTTCATGTGTCTGTTAGTGAGAGTGTGTGTGTCTGTTGGTGAGTGTGTTTGTGTGTCTGTTAGTGAGTGTGTCAGTGAGGGTGTATATGTCAGTGAATGTGTATGTCTGTTTTTTGTGTTTATGCGTGTTTGCCACTGAGAGTGTGTATCTGTCAGTCAATGTGTATTTCTGTTAGCAATGTGGGTGAGTGTATAAGTGTCTGTGAGTGAGTGTGTATGTGTGTTTGTCAGTGTGTGTCTGTCAGTGAGTCAGTGAGTGTGTCACAGTGTGTGTGTGTCTGACACTGAGTGAGTGTGCATCTGTTAATGAGTGTGTGTCTTGTTAGTGAGTGTGTTTGTGTACCTGTCAGTGAATGCGTGTCTGTCAGTTAGTGTGTATGTGTGTCTATCGGTGAATGTGTGTGTGTGTCTGTCAGTGAATGCATGTGTCACTGTGTCTGTCAGTGGATGTGTGTGTCTGTCGGTGAATGTGAGTGTTTGTGTCTGTCAGTGGGTGTGTATGTTTCAGTGAAAGTGTGTGTTGGTTAAACAGTGTCTGTGACAATGACTGTGTATCTGTCAGTTAGTGTATGTCAGTTTATGCACCAGTGAAGGACTGTGTCTGTCAGGCAAAGAGTGTGTTGGTGTTTAACAGGTGAAATTTAGAAGTGGGGTGCCTGAGTTTTGTCATGCCTAGGGCAGCATAAAACCAGAATACACCACGGGTCTAGTCAGTGTTTGTAGGACTACATTTTAGCCACAGGAACAGAGCTGTGCCTTTTGAATCCATTCTTCCTGATCATGTCTGGAACGAGGACAGGATGACAGGACATTTGCAGTAGCACAGGCAGAATAAACAGAATTGAATAGATGTGGAATCAGGGAGTTGTATATTCTTGAGATATCAAATCACTCAGGGCCGAAGCCATTGAAAGTGTTAGGCACAAAAAAGAGGCGAGATTACAGCATTGGAGAGTCACAGAAAACTAATGCCCTGACTGACTTACATGCAAGTATAAGCCTAAAATTGGTACATCAATTTTACATAGATTTACTATGAGGACAACCAGTTAGAATGGAAGATGTTCGGGATAACTGTCAGGACACCTATGGGATGTAGGATATACAGAGTTGCCCTCAGTGGGTACAGCATTCTTTGCACAGACTGATTTACAAAATTGCATATTGTAGTTTAAAGACATATTACTGTGGGTTTTTATTGGGGGTTTTATTATTATAATGATTATTGATGACAACATTCATAGAAAATAAAGACAGAGTGGTTTGAGCATTAAATAGAGAATGTACCTCCTACATAGAGATTCTTGGGAGGTATGTTACTGAGAAGACCTACATGGCATACAGGAAAGGTATAGGTACCCAGGGGTAAAAAAGAGATGCATAGGCACTACCTAAGGTGGTTTAGGATACCAGCAAGGATATCGGGAGGGTGAGAAATTGATATATACTGCCGGGGGTATAGGGTGCCAGAGTTTGTAGGAGATAGGATGCCAGGATAAAATAGAATGCCTGGCAGACCCTTTTGCGATATATAAGGGGTACAGGGTACCAGGCAGGACATTCATGGTACAATATAAAGATACAGGGTGCTACGCAGGACATTTAATATATAATATAAAGATACAGGGTGCCAGGCAGGACTTTCAGGGTATAATATAAAGGTACAGGGAGTCAGGCAGGACATTCAGGGTATAATATAAAGGTACAGGGTGTCAGGGAGGACATTCAGGGTATAATATAAAGGTACAGGGTGTCAGGCAAGATATTCAGGGTATAATATAAAGGTACAGGGTGTCAGGGAGGATATTCAGGGTATAATATAAAGGTACAGGGTGTCAGGGAGGACATTCAGGGTATAATATAAGAGTACAAGTGTCAGGAGGACATTCAGGGTATCATATAAAGGTACAGGGTGACAGGCAGGACATTCAGGGTATAATATAAAGGTACAGGGTGACAGGCAGGACATTCAGGGTATAATATAAAGGTACAGGGTGACAGGCAGGACATTCAGGGTATAATATAAAGGTTCAGGGTGACAGGCTGGACATTCAGGGTATAATATAAAGGCACAGGGTATAAGGACATTCAGGGTATAATATAAAGGTACAGGGTGTCAGGGAGGACATTCAGGGTATAATATAAAGGGACAGGGTGACAGGCAGGACATTCAGGGTATAATATAAAGGTACAGGGTGTCAGGCAGGACATTCAGGGTATAATATAAAGGTACAGGGTGTCAGGGAGGACATTCAGGGTATAATATAAAGGTACAGGGTGTCAGGGAGGACATTCAGGGTATAATATAAAGGTACAGGGTGTCAGGCAGGACATTCAGGGTATAATATAAAGGTACAGGGTGTCAGGCAGGACATTCAGGGTATAATATAAAGGTACAGGGTGTCAGGGAGGACATTCAGGGTATAATATAAAGGTACAAGGTGTCAGGCAGGACATTCAGGGTATACTATAAAGGTACAGGGTGTCAGGGAGGACATTCAGGGTATAATATAAAGGTACAGGGTGTCAGGGAGGACATTCAGGGTATAATATAAAGGTACAGGGTGACAGGCAGGACATTCAGGGTATAATATAAAGGTTCAGGGTATAATATAAAGGTACAGGGTGACAGGCAGGACATGCATGGAATGTTGAGCGTTCTGACTGGTAATACAGGGCATGACACTAGCTGGCACCGCCCAGCAGAGGGAGTGGTGACGTACAGGTCACGTGCCCCGCCGCGCGTCGTCTCCCCGGTGACGTAGCCGGAGCTGTGAGGGAGGGAGAGAAACAAGATGGCGGCGGCGGCTGGGATATGACGGGAACGGATCGCCGTGTGTGAGCACCGCCCGGAGAGCGAGGGGATGGCCTCGGTGGGAGAGAGCGGGGGAGAGGCTGGCGGCTGCACACGGTAACCCGCCTGGAAGTGAGTGCAGACCGTATCCCGGGATCACTGTCACCCACCGCCCTCACAGACACTTACCGTAACCCACCGCCCTCACAGACACTTACCGTAACCCCCAATAACCCACCGCCCTCACAGACACTTACCGTAACCCCCAATAACCCACCGCCCTCACAGACACTTACCGTAACCCCCAATAACCCACCGCCATAACAGACATTTACCGTAACCCCAATAACCCACCGCCCTCACAGACACTTACCGTAACCCCAATAA